TCTCCCATGTAAACTATCACTCAGTTCACAATAGAAAGATAAATTTTAAAAAATAGGTGAAATCATTCAATAAAAATTTGAAAAGAATTAGGAAATAGTGTATATCGTAGAATGCCTTCTTCTTGTTGTTGTTATTGATGGTGGTGGTGGTTGTGTGTTATGGAGTTGGTTCTGACTCATAGAGACCCTGCATAGGGTTTCTGAGGCTATAAATCTTCATGGGAGCAGAAAGCCTCATCTTTCTCCCACAGAGCAACTGGTATATTTGGACTATGGACCTTGAGGTTAGCAATCCAGTTTGTAATCCATTACACTACCAGAGAGCCTTATTGCTGTTATTAAGTGCAGTCAAGTCAATTCTGATTCATAGCAAACCTGTATACAGTTTCTGAGGAGCAGCTGGTGAGTTTTAACCGCCAACTTGTGTTTTTTGTACAGTGCCATACCAGGATTCCAACAAGGACTAGCACATAGAAAATGCTAAGTGTTTGTTATTATTATTATTTCTATTATTATTCAAGTTTCTACCAGCTCTTGAAGTGTGAAATTATAAGGGAAGATTTATAGATGTGTGGATAAGGGTATCTGCGGTGACCTGGGCAGTGTGTGTGTTAGTGTTTGTGCTTTGAAGAAGGGTGTGGTCAGTTGCAGATTAACAGTGACCAATAGCAATATAATGTGAGCTATTTGAAATGTACAATATTACATATGAAATATATAATTTCAAATGTACTATACTATAAATGAAATATATAATTTCAAATGTACTAGTTATTGTTGTTGTTGACACTAAAATAGGAAAAAGTAACCCAAAACCAAACTAAACCTAATGCCATTGAGTCCATTCCAAGTCAAAGTGACCCTATATAGAGTTTCCAAGACTGTAAACCTTTATGGGAGCAGACAGCAGAGTAGTGGGTCTGAACTGCCAAACTTGTGGTTAACAGACCAATGTCTAACTCACTGTGCCACTAACTCCTTCAATAGCAACAGGTAAAGTTAGTTTTAGTCATTTATTTTATGTAAACCAATAAATCCAAAATATTATTTCAACATACAATCAATATAAAAATTCTTGTGATGTTTTACGTCTTTTTTATATAAGCTAAGTCTTCAAAATGCAGTGTGTATTTTACAGGTACAGCAAGCTTATGTAGTTTTGGATGAGGCACATTTTAAGAGCTTAATAGATACATGTAGCTAGAAGCTACCATATAGGACAGTGTAGCTCAAGATAACCGAGGTACTCAGAAGCTACAGACACATGGCATGGCTGAGAGAACTCGAGGAGACTCATGAAGAAACAGGGTTAACTTGATATGAGATAGAGGAGAAGAAAGAGAACATTTCTGCAAATGAAAAATAACTCTGTTTTCCTTTTGTAGTAAATGTGCATTTTATCCTTCCTCTCTCAAACAGAATCCTGATTCATGATGTACAAGAAGAGATTGAGAAACAGTTTGATGTTAAAGAAGATATCCCATATAGACACAGCTATGCAAAATATAATAACTGGGACAAAGTACAGTATAAAATGCCTCTACTTCAAAAAAAATTCACCCTTAACATTTGTTGTTAGTTTTCTTTTATTCTAATTCCTTAAATTTGGTTTTGCTTCTAAGATTGTTGCTTGGACGGAAAAAATGATGAACAAGTGCCCCGAAATGGTATCTCGCATTAAGATTGGAAAAACTTTCGAAGATAATCCTCTATATGTTCTCAAGGTAAAAGTAATTCAAGAACCACTGATTTTTTATTACTGTTTAAAAGATTAAAAGTTACATTGTGACACAATTGGGCTAATTTCAAGACAGTAAGAAATCTTTTTCTTTGAAATAATGTTTAACTTGTAGATGTCCACTCAAGAGTTGAAGTGGCATGTGGTTTTTGGTGGAACCAAGATAGTGCCTGAATAAACCGTTTGCCAAAGGGTACATAGTCGACAAGATAAATAATATCTGTTTCCGTACCTTTCTCCATAAGATTTTGTGAATTCCTTAGTGTATAAATCAGTTTGTACTCATTAAAATTCATAGAAACATAAGTTAATGAATAAATAAAGTAATGAAGCAGAGAGAATTAATTAATTAATGATAAAGTAATAAAGAAGAGAGAAATTTAAGTATTATAGAATCATAGGATTCATATACCCCTCTATATGAACACAAAGTGAACCATTTGAGTCCTGTGTTGATGGAAGATTCCCTTCTAGTACATGACCAACAATGGCCATTTAGCTGCTGCTGAAGTTTTAAGACATCCAAAGATACTATTCATGGAAGCAGTCCTCTAATAACTGCTGAACCACCACCCATTCATTCTCTCCAACAACCCAAAACAAATACAAACTTTATTCAAAACAAAAGCCCTTCGAATATTGAGCTACTCTCCTCCCCACTCTCCTCCTCCTCATTCCAAACACAACTATAGAATCTTCTCTACTCCTAACTAAACATACCCAGTTAATGAAGCTGAACAAGCAAAAGCAAATCGTGGAAACAGAACTGACTTCTTAATCTGTTTCTTAGACAAAAATATAAGAAAAATAACAGACTGACTTTTTTTAAATCTGGAAAATAACTCTGACACTAAGAAATATTTTTGGAAACTGAACTGTATAACAGATCATGAATTATGCATATGCATTTAAGAATATGTGCCATGGTCCTCCCTGAGAACAATACATACATACACAGTTACTCATTCATCAACAGGCAGGGGAAAGAACTGTGCTGAAGATGATACAAGTGTATTATTGGACAACATAGGATCGATGGCGTGTCTACTCAACACATTCATGCAAAATAAAATCTCAAGTTTATTTTTAAATAGGTTGGGAAGCAGGATGAAAGAAAGCCATCTATTTTTATGGACTGTGGCATCCATGCACGAGAATGGATCTCCCCAGCATTCTGCCAGTGGTTTGTCTATCAGGTAAGTGGATCAGAACAATCTGGCAATTCTTCTCTAACTGTCAAGTTTCCAGCACTTCACTGAAGAGTGACCCCCTTTCACGTGAATGCAGTTCCACTTAACTACAAGAGCCCAGATTTGGTGCTGTCAAAAAACAAATGATCAGGCCTTTGCTTATCGTCGCTATTTTTATAACATTGCCACCTTCCTTCAAACTTCTTGAACTCCAGCTGACAGTTGATAAGTCTGAAAGTAACTCTTTGAGGCTATAATATGGAACTTTTCCCTATATTGAAGTATGATAAATCTGAAAACATCTTCAGATTAAAACCGTTCCAGTGACCTGGCCATTTCTGATCATAGTGATCTCATGTGTTTTTGAACAGAAATGTATTTCACAGAATATTCATGCTTATGACTTTTTGGAAGCACTCCACCAGGCCTTTCTCCCAAGGTATCTCTGAGTTGGTTTGAACCACCAGTGCTTTTGGTTAGTTGTTGTTATGTGATGTGGAGTCGGTTCCAACTCTTAGTGACCCTGTACAGGGTTTCTGAGGCTGTAAATCTTTACAGAAGCAGAAAGCCTTATCTTTCTCCCACGGAACAGCCGGGAGTTTTGAACTGCTGACCTTGAGGTTTGCAGCCTAATTCATGACCACTACGCTACCAGAGTCAGCCACAAAACCATGTGCACAACACAGAAACTCCAACTTCTACTAACCTAAAACCCAATTGTCAAGTTGATTCCAATTCATACCTATAAATTCTATCTTTCTTCAATGTGCTCATTCAGTGCAGAGACCTTTAGTTCCCAATTAGATATTTCACTGACTATGCAAGTGCACAGGAA